CTTTTGAGAGAGAAATTTCTTTTCTAGACCTAGAAAATTCAATGCCTTGAAAATATTTCAAATTCCCTAAATCTTTGATAAGGAATTCCTCGAGTAAACTAGTCTTGAGATGTTGAATTTCTTTGAGATCATTGCCTATCAACAGAATATCATCCACATAGATGAGAGTTGCGGTGAAAGAAGTACCTTCACTCTTAATAAATAAAGAGTAATCTGCTTTGGACTGAGTGTAGCCTACATTTTGTGTATTGGTTAGAGAATATGGAGAACCAATTGCGAGAAGCCATTTTTAAACCATAAAGAGATTTATGGAGCCGACATACTGTATTCTCCCCCTGTCGGCGAATACCTGGTGGTAAAGACATATAGACTTCCTCGTCTAGATTACAATGGAGAAAGGCATTTTGAACATCCAACTGATGAGTGAACCATTTTCAAGCAGCGACTATAGTGAGTAGGCAACGAGGTGTAGTAAGTTTCGCTGTAGGAGAAAACGTCTCTTTGTAATCAACACCTTCAACTTGAGTGTATCCCTTTGCTACCAGTCGAGCTTTATAACGTTCAGTAGAACTATCAAAGTTGTGTTTAATCTTGTATACCCAATGACAGCCAATAGCTTTATGGCCAGGTGGTAGAGGAATGAGAGACCAAGTATGATTACGTTCCAAAGCTGCAATTTCATCATTCATACCCTGCTGCCATAATGGGTTGCCAACTGCCTCATCATAGGTTTTAGGTTCTGTCTGGGCTGTAATAAGAGCTAGAAAAGCATGTTGAGTAGGTGAAAAACGAGAGAATGAAAGGTAATCATGAAGGGGGTACTTGGTGCCAGTGTATTGACTTGAGCTAGAGGTTAAATGATTGGCTCAAGAAGACATCTCATTAACATTATAACAAGCTGGAGGCTGTTTGGTACAAGTAGAACGTCGGAGTGAAATTGATGTATCAGGTCGGATAAGATTAGAATTAGTGGGTGAATCTGGAGAAGGAATAGAAGGCGGAGGGTCGACGAAGTAGTAGGTGAAGGAATAGAAAGTGGGGGAGGACTAGAATGGATGTTTGAGTAGGATGAATCATGAAGTGGTAAAATGGGAGTTGAAGGAGCTAATGTCAAAGTTTGTGAAGCTGGTGAAAAGGAAAAATTATCGTCACAAAATTTAACATCACGACTGATAAATTTTTTTTTAGATTGCATGTGTAACAACCCTAAATTTCCACATATCTAGAGTCGCCACTAACGTCTCATGCTCATCTCTAATGCAGAATAAAAATCTAAGCATGCTCACCTTTATTAGCGGAAAAATTTAAAACTTCAGAATACATTAAAACATTGGAAAACACTGCCGGACTTACGTGTTTCAAACATCATGCTGGAGTTCAAAAGACAAAATAAAACGATTACAAATTAATTAATATAAATGAATGAAATGCAAACGCCCTATCCTAACCAAGACTAGGAATTTTAAATATGCAACTATCCTATGCACGCGCCACAGTCTCTGATCACGATGCCACCGTCAACCGTACATGGGAGCCTTGCCTTTACCTGAAAAACAATATGGCACACGACCTGAGTATTTCGAAGAAATACTCAGTAAGTGACCCCACTATAGGGGCCATGCTAATGCAAACACATGCAATCATTTATAGGGACCTATCTCTAATCATCTTAGGGGTGGCCTCCAGTCTCGGACAAATTGGATGTGTAGTACTTCCCTACACACGACTCACACGTGCGAGTGTGAGTCCCCAGGGCGCTCACACACCCCCTGGACCCTCTGGTCAAGCTAATCTGTAGCGACGTCCGGAGGTCAGCGGAACCCCATAGTGTCATGCGCCTCATGAACACCCTCATCTGTGTGCTTTCGCACCTATGCGCATTCGCGCTCATCATAAGGTGCGCGTCCGCACTCATCATCTCTAGGGGAAGTAGCCCTATGCTTATGAACATACAAAATGCATGAGGTCCCACTAAATCCATCGTAATGTCTCTTCTGACACAACCCTCTAGTCTCATCTCTTTGTTACCCTAGGTAACGCATACTCGTGGATATTTATATAAATATCATTTTCATGCTCTTAGGGTTGTGTCCTACGTCGATCTAACGACATGATGCAATATGGCACTCATCATCATCTAGCATGCTCAATATGGAAAACATCATCATATTAAGGTAAAAATCATGCAATCATCAAGCTCATCATAATGCCACAACGTGCGTCAAACATATCAAGCGTCACCCAACAAAATATGTATATACTGCACATATCATCAAGCATCATAATCCACACATCATCATAACTCATACAATTATTTAGCCTATCCTATAGTAAGGCCACTTACATGGTTGGCCTCGACCGAAGTACTCCCTAAATAGCTAAACGTAAGCTCCCGTTCCGTGAGAGCTGCTTCCTACTTCGCTGGGGTTTGTTTCCTATCACACCGTTCACCATTTTCCGTTAGTATTTCACAATTAATTTACCTAATTTAATAAATGTGAAATACGGCTCTAAAACGGCCTCGGATACCTTAATCGGGGCCGAAAACAGATCCGGGAGGGTCGAAACAGTGGAAACCGGGCTGAAAACAGGTGAGCCGAGCCGAACAGCCGCTGGAGCCGCCGGAGGAGCCGCCGGACCGTCACCGGAGGGAGCCCGAGCCGTTTGCGCCGAGCCGAGCCGAGGACTGCCGCGCCGCTGTGTGACACGTGGCAGCAGCAGAGAAAGCCACGTCGGGCGGTAGTGTCGGGTCGAAGCGCGGGTCGCAGTCCGGTTCGGGTCGTGGTTCGGGTCGCGGGCTGTGGAAGGCTACTGGGCCAAGGCTAAACGTTGGGCCTCGGTTTACTGGGCTGGGCCGCGAGTGTTTGGTTTGCAGGCCGGCTCAATTGGACCGTGGGTATAGTCTGGGTTGGTTCAACTGAACCGTAGCTTCTGGGCTGGTTTGAGGTTTGGGCCGCTGTAGTTGGGCTGGGCCGAAGGCAGAGGCCAAGGGGGGAAACGGGCTGGGTTTGAGGTTTGGGCCGCTGTAGTTGGGCTGGGCCGAAGGCAGAGGCCAAGGGGGGAAACGGGCTGGCTCTCCTGGGTTCTGGGTTCGGGTTGACCCGGGCCGAAGGCAGAGGCCAAGGGGGGAAACGGGCTGGCTCTCCTGGGTTCTGGGTTCGGGTTGACCCGGATCCGTGGATCTCGTCTTCCTTACCCGACTTTGGCCGATTTTCCGGCGAGTTTTCTCTCTCCTTCTCGCGGCGTTTTCGTGGCCGATTTCGGTCCTCTTCCTTCTCTTTTCCTCTTTGTTCGTCGTCCTTCTTTCCTTTTTGGGAGTTTTGCGGCCTAAAAGCTCCTAAAAGCCATAGATCTAAGAATCGATTAAGAAACCTAACTTTCCGACCTCG